AGGCCCGCCAGCCCCATCCGTCACCCATTCAATGACCTTGCTTCTAGACATGAATCTGTTATGGTTGAAGACCGCTCGAAGAGGCGGACCTCGATGAGGAGGAGGTGGACTATTCGGATTCGGAAGTCGAGCACGTGTCCCCATCTCCGCTCCTCCTCTTTTGGTTTCGGACGAAGCTACCGACACTTGCCAAATCGCTACCGCCACACGAGTTGCATTGCCATCCTCCACGACACCACGACCCCAATTTCCTTACGGATGTCGAGTCGGCCCCTTCTCCATTGCTAGTTACGAGTAGCATGTTGTGCATGGTCCTCCGGCTTATGATGAATCCACAACGAGAGCGACCAAGTCAAGTCCTTCCCCGGCAGGCAAGTGGCGAGATTTGTTTGTAAGTAATCATAACTTAGACTTATGCTCTAAACTCGTCACACTTTTCAACTATCATTGAATCCAAACAATGTACTTTGCAAACTGCCGATACCAAATGTGAGTTATGGAAATTTTTCCTTGTGGGATATGTTCTTGGTAAGTATCCAGGATCTAATGCCCTCAATGGAATCATCAAGAATACTTGGCATTGTGAGGCTTCTTTAACGGTACATGAATCGGTCGGCTTATTTATAAATTCAAATAAGAGGAAGATAAGGTTTTGGTGCTTAATAGGGGATCGTATTTGATTTATGGGCGAGCTTTGATTTTGTGACCAATGTTGGAATACTTTGATTTTTCCACCTCCGAGATGGCTACTGCCCCTGTTTGGGTCAAGCTCCCCAATCTGCCACTCAAATATTGGTCCACTGTGTGTTTGTCAAAGATTGCTAGTTTGCTTGGGAAAACCTCTCCAATGCGACCGTTTGATTGCTTTAATGGATAGACTATCCTATGCTCGAGTCCTTGTGGAACCGAATATTATGGAAACTCTCCCCGGATGGTCGGCATCTTATTACCGAATAATGCCACTCTCTTGCAACCGAGTTGTTTATGAGACTCTCCCCATTCATTGCAAAAATTACCGTATACTTGGGCATTCCATAACCGCATGTAAAAATCAAGCCCCTCCGGAATTGAGTAAGGAAACCACCAATGGCGAGTGAAGCTCGCTAGCGAGCGAGCTAGAACAAGTGTTTTCCAACGGTCGGGTGATTCCGCCAAGGTACGCCTAGCCACGATCCACTCACCTATCGACCCCATGCTACTTGGAAGCTGTTGATTGGGAGAGAGTAAAGCACAAAACACACTCTCGCGGAGCTACCGATAAAGGTAAACATGTTATGGTTGATTCTACCATAGGTCCGGCATCCCCTTCGACACTCGAGCTAATTGAGGTTCGGCCTAGGGTGGAAGGTTACGAGCAACGGGGACACGGGTGGGATGAGAAGCCAAATTGCGGGGCCACCATGCCGGGGGCAAGTCAATTCGGGGTACTTGTAGGAATGGCTCTCCCGACAGAAAAGATAGTGGCAAGTCGGGGCCTCCCATCACGGGGGTTGTTCTCGACAAGGAAGGCGAATGCCTTAATGTTCCAGGCTTCCCTTAAGGACACCAATTTAGACCCCCTAATCGGACAAGAAGAGCGGACCGCGAGCCACTTCGCCTAGGCGGTCGCCGGCAGAGTGGTAAGAAAGGACGAAGCGGGGGTCGAAGGGGCTCGGCCTCTTCCGCACGTCCATGATTATATTTAGCTGGAGTATCGGAGGACTTAATAGTCCTTTGAAACGAGCATGAGGTAGGGCATCTCATGAAGAAAAAGAAGGTTGATATGTGTGCCTTTGTTGAAACAAAACTCGATTCCGCTAAGCTTGTCAATATGCATCGGCTTAGACTCAAGCAATGGAGCTTTATGTCCAATGCTATGGTAGCGGGAAATGCCCACGTTGCACTTTTCTAGAATCCAAGCACCGTAACAGTTAATATGTTAAATGTCTTTATTCAAGGTCTAAATGTTAGGATCACTAACCTTGTACGAGTAGTTGTCTTTTAATGCCACTTTTATCTACGGGTTACACTCCATCATTGCTAGAAGAGGGTTGTGGGTCGATCTTCATCAATGGCACTTGAATTGCCCTTGGCTTATTTCGGGGGACTTTAACTCGATTCTCTCGCATGCTCGATAAACATAAGGGTGATGCTTGTCTCTAACTACAAGACTTGTCGACTTTAGAAGTTGTTGCTCGGATCTTGGGCTAACGGACCTTAACTACACGGGGAGCCATTTTACTTGGAATGCGGCGAATGTTTGGACTAAAATCGATAGAGTTCGGCTAAAACTTTTTGGTCCTCCACCGAGCAGCTTGCTCATGTTCATTTTGGCCCTTCGGGTGCTTTTCCGGATCATTCTCTAGTTAGGGTAGACTTAGGCTCCCGTGTTCATTTCAAAACTCGAAGCTTCAAATTCTTCAATATGTAGGCTACCCACGTTGATTTTCTAAGAACTCGTGGCCGATTGTTGGGAAGCTAGAATCGGTGGCACCCCAATGTATGTCCTTTGTTGCAAATTGAAATCTCTCAAGGAACCACTCAAGAAGTCGAACACACTCCATTTCGACCACATCTCCCAAAGGGTGGTCGAGGCCGAATCCGACTTGGCGGCAATATAGATCGAGCTTCACTCGGATAGAGATAATTTGGAGCTTTTTCGGAATGAAAAGAGGCTCCGACTCCATCCGGCTAATCTCAAATCCTCGAAAAAGACGTTTTTTGGTCAAAAATTAAAGTGCAAGTTCCTTAAGGATTGCGACAAAGGCACTAGTTTCTTTCATCGCCTTATGAATCGAAGCACAAAGCCAACCATATTGCTGCACTTAAACGGGGCGATGGTCAACTCACTACCTCTATTACGAAGTAGGAGAAGATTTTGTTTCCTATTACAAAAACCTCTTAGGTACCACTAAAGCTACGGTGCCCCTTGACCCGCACATTGTTGCTAGTGGGCCTCGATTACAAATGGCCAGCCATGATCGGCTTCTCTCCCCGATCACGACGGATCTCATCCGGAAGACACCGTTCAACATAGACAATGATAAAGCACCGGGCCCCGATGGGTACTTTTCCTTCTTCTTCAAACGAGGCTTGGGGATATTATTGGGAGAGACTTTTGTGTAGCTTGTTAAAGAGTTTTTTGTACACGGGAAGCTCCCGAAACAAGTTAGCCACTCTGTTATAGCTTTAGTCCCTAAAATGGCCAATGCTACCTTGCCAAGTGACTACGGACCAATCTCCTGCTCGTAATGTAGTTTATAAGGTTATTACCAAGATCATTTCCTCCCGGCTATCCTCGGCTCCGATGGATATAGTTAGTCCTATACAGAATGCCTACTTGGGGGCCGAAAAATGTCGGACAATATTTGTTTGGTTCAAGAGTTGCTTCGATCTGTATGGATGAAAGCGATCTTCTCCGAGGTGCTTAATGAAGATTGATTTCCGTAAGGCCTTTGACTCGCGCAATGGGGTTTCCTAAAACGACTTCTATTACAATTGGGCTTCGGGCGATTTGTTGGTTGGATTATGACATGTGTAGAATCGGCTTCCTACTCTATTTCGATCAACGGGGCCTTGTTTGGGTTCTTCCTTGGAAAAGCAAGTGTTAGGTAAGGTGACGCTCTCTCTCCCTACCTATTTGTGGTATGCATGGAATACTTCTCTCGCTTATTGTAGGTTGCAGCAAGAAATTCGACTTTCGCTTCCACCCTCAACGTGGGATCCATGCCATCACCCACCTAGCCTTTACGGATGATGTCTTCTTGCTTAGTCGTGGAGATGCTACCTCTATCGGGATTCCGTCTAGCCGGCTATGTATCTTTAGTAGTGTATCCGGCCTAGCTATCATTATGGCCTAGTCCTTGATCTTGTTTGGTGGGGTGGGAAGTGACTTGAAAAACTCCATCCTCCAAGAAGCTGGGTTCCGTGAGGGCTCTTTCCCCTTCAAATGCACGGGGGTCCCTCTAAGCCCTCATCGCTTGCTTGCTAGTCGGCTTGCCCATTTGCTATACGAGTCTTGAATCCACGATTCGAGCTAGATGGGAAATCATCTATCCTATGCGGGTAGGCTCGAGCTTCTCGGATCCATCCTCTTTAGCATGATACAATTCTAGCTTGTTATCTTTCCTATGCATGCTGTGGTTATTGCACATATCACCGGTATGTGTCGAATTTTTATGGACGGGAGATGTCGGTAGGAGTTCTTCGGCTTTGGTGGTTTGGAAAAGCCTCTCGTTCCCCTAAATCGGAAGGTGGCCTAGGAGTCTTCGATATCAAAGCAAAAAATCAAAGTTTTTTGGCTAAAAGGCTGCGGGACATACACCTCAAGGCCGACTCCATTTGGATTCACTGGGTCCATCACTTCTACTTGTAAGACAGTCGATTGTGGGACGTTGTCGCCCATCGTAATGCTTTGCCTTTGTGGAAAGCTATTCTCGATTTGAAAGACTTGCTTATTGTGAAATATAAGAGTAAAGATGCAGCTATATGTGAGCTTGCTCGGTGGAACTCGGTAGAGGGAAGTTTCTCTAATATTGCATATACATGGCTTAGGCCAACGGGGGAACCGAGTGTTCCGGGGTAGGGTGATTTGGGAGTCATGGTCCATGCCATGGCATTCCTTTATTCTATGGCTTGTTGCTAGGGGTGCCTTAAAAACTAAGAACCGTCTTCGTTTTCACGCCTACCGGTGATGCATGTCTTCTTCGTGATCAAGCTACCAAGTCATATAACCATTTGTTCTTCTCCCGCCCTTGGACCACTAACCTCTCGGTTGAATATTAAGCGATGGCTACGAATTCACGGAGGTATGCGGATGCTCACTAGTGCTATCAAAGGCCTCTCCTATCGTTGTAACAATCTTGAAGCAAAAATGAGGAGAGTAGCCCTTAGTATCACGGTTTATGTCATATGGGAAGAAAGAAACGAGCGCGCCTTTGATGGGCTGGCTAGCTTGGTGGACAATGTGTTTCGTAAATTTCAAATTATTTTCTATATGGTATTCTATTTTCATGCATTAGACCCTCTCCTCTTGTCCGTGGGCTAGCCTTGATTTCTTCATCGAGTTCACGAGTTCTTCTCCGGTCGGGTTCTTCGTCTCTGGTTCTCAAGGTTCTGGTCTTTTTGGGTTGTCTAGTCGCTCTTCCGGGCTTTCGGGCTATTTTAGTTTCTGTTGTTCTATTCGGGGGTTGAACCTCTATTTGGGTTTGTCTCGGATATTATGCTTGCGTACACAAGCCTCTGCTGGTCGAGGAGTCTTGTTGAGTTTCACCACTTGCCGACTCCTTGGCTATTGCCACATATTGGTCGAGTTGATTGGTCTTACTTCGCTTGTGGGTTAGATATTATTCCATGCCCGTCTAGTTCCTTCCAACCTATTCGAGTCTGGTTGTAGGTTTACTTGCTAATTTGGGTGGGCTTTGGCTTCGGTTTTGGTTGGGTTGTATGGGCATTCTTGTCATTGGTCCGGTTGTAGCATTTTTTGGCTCGTTGTTTGGTTGGGTTTGGGAGCTATGCCTTTGTTGGCTTGCCTCTGTTTGGGCACCTGCCCGGTCGACTTGCTCGAGTTCGCCTCCTCATGGCCTCCTTGTTGTTGTCTCATATTCTAAGTGGGCTTCACTAGGCCAAGTCTACTGCTCGTATTCAGCTCCGTTATTCATTAGCGAAGGTTAGGCCTAGTCTCCTCTCCCATTCCGTCCAATGCTTCCTTACGTTCTCGATTTGCGACGAGTAGCTGTTCGGCCTACCTCGACTGCTTGTGTTGAGTTGGCTCGCTCATGGCTTATGTACTTATTTATTTATGCTCTTAGTAGGAGGGGTCTAGTTAGTGTGGTTCAGCCCAATGTAAGTTCCGGCTTGGGCTTCATTGTTTGCGCCTGCCAACACCTCTTAGTTCTCGTTTCCGGTTCTACTGCATGGTCTAGCCTACATTTCTTGCTCCCCATTTGCTCTCCGCCAAGCCCGGCACTGCTGGCTCTTGTTGGCCCTCGTTTCCCCTTCTTTTGTCATGTGGTCTCCTCCTTGCCCGACTCGGTTAGTACGCGAGCCCTCCCACTTATAACCTCTCTCGCATGCCTAGGCGCTATCGCCCTAGCCGGTTCTTCGTTGTTTTTGTCGATCTTGCATTGGTTTTGTAAATTGATGGCTATTATTTTGTAAATTGTTGGTTTCATCTAGTGCTTACTCAGCAATGTTTTTGTATCTTGTAGAGCCTTTGTAAATGGTTCCATTTAGCTAGCACACGGTCCCTATCTAGTTTTTCTCAAAATCTCTCATAATCGTTTTGATTCCTTGAATAACCATCTAGGGCTAGCTCGTTGTTTTTTGTTTCATTGGGAGCCTCGTTCCCAATTTTTGTAAATCTTGTAAATGTTATTCTTACTTGGTTCTTTTTCTAGTTTGGTTTCCTTTGATTTATATACTTACATTTAAATAAAAAAAAGAGCTCTCGGTTTGTTAATCCTTACTATGTCCGGACCTAGTAAGTTTCCCGTGTTGAGTCAAATTAAGCTACGGGCTCCACTCCCGGTGGTGCCCTTTCATCAATTCCTTTAAGTTTCAGCCTTGCGACCATACTCCCCAAGAGCTCAAAAACTTTGATTTCTCATAAGATGCTTAGTGGAGTCCTAGAAGCAACATCCAGCCAATCCTTGGTCGGCATCGTTTATGGTTGAGACTAGGACGGTATACGATCATCTTTGAGCCCCCGACTTTCATTCTTGATTAATGAAAACATCCTTGGCAAATGCTTTCATAGTTGTTCATCTTTCATAAATCCAAGAATTTCACCTCCGACTATGGAATACGAATGCCCCCGATCGTCCTCGTTAATCATTACTCCGATCCCGAAGGCCAACACAATAGGATCGAAATCCTATGATGTTATCCCATGCTAATGTATCCGGAGCGTAGGCTTGCTTTGAGCACTCTAATTTCTTCAAAGTAACGAGCATCGGAGGCACGACCTAGCCGATTAAGGCCGGGAGTGCATCATCGGTAGAAAGGACGAGGCGGCCGGTGCACACCCGAGGTGGATCGGCCGACCCAACCCAAAGTCTAACTACGAGCTTTTTAACTGTAACAACTTAAATATACGCTATTGGAGCTGGAATTACCGCATCTGCCGGCACCGGACTTGCCCTCCAATGGATCCTCGTTAAGGGATTTAGATTATACTCATTCCAATTACCAAACTCGAAGAGCCGGTATTATTATTTATTGTCACTACCTTCCCGTGTCGGGATTGGGTAATTTGCGTGCCTCGTCGCCTTCCTTGAATGTGGTAGCCGTTTCTCGGGCTCCCTCTCCGGAATTGAACCCTAATTCTCCATCACCCACCACCACCATGGTAGGCCCCTATCCCGCCATCGAAAGTTGATAGGGTAGAAATTTGAATGATGCGTCGCCGGCACGATGGTCGTGCGATCCGTCGAGTTATCATGAATCATCGAGCAATGAGCAAAGCCCTCGTCGACCTTTTATCTAATAAATGCATCCCTTCCGAAGTCGGGGTTTGTTGCACGTATTAGCTCTAGAATTACTACGATTATCCAAGTAGCAAATACCATCAAACAAACTATAACCGATTTAATGAGCCATTCGTCGTTTCATAGTCTAAATTAGTTCATACTTACACATGTATGGCTTAATCTTTGAGACAAGAAAATGACTAATGGCGGGATCAACTAGGTAGCATTCCTTTGCGACACCGTAACTCGAACAATCCCTAATGTCAAAGAGACGAGGGGGCAAGTCGAGTGTAGAGGTCATTCTTATCGAGCAAAGATCACTCAAACGAGGCTATTGCAGGAGTCGAAGAACCCCGCACGAGCAACAAATTCGCATCCGAAAGCACGAGCGATCGCGAGTGGGCTAATTTGATGGAAGTCCGCTCAATCGAAACACAAGCGCCGTAGCAAAGATTCACCGCGCACACTTAGAGGAGGCATAAAGCGAGAGAAGGACGAGTGTCAAATTCTAATTCCACCACAAAGGGTATGCGACACGGGAACCCCTCATCACCACGGAGGCCCTACGGGCTCTTGGGCCGGATATGACAGGGACTGCGAGCCAACGGTTCGGTGCACCGGCACGGAGCACGCCAACACAAACAACCCGACGATCACTCATGCACCACCTTGTACACATGACATCGATCCCAAAGACCAAACCACGGCCTAAAAGAGCAAAATGGAAACACTCGAAGCAAGATCAAAGCGTGCACTCGCCGGACACGAAAGATTTCAAAGGGACGATCCAGTAAAGCTAGAAGGGATGAGATGGAGACATTCGAAAAAAGGACACCTACCATGGCTAGGATGTCGAAGCCCAAGCCTTAGCCGTCGGGATACGATCACGGCACGGAGCCAAGGAATTACACGGGAGATCGCATGCATCGACATAAGCACGATAACTTAATGCCATGCAAGTGCTTGCATTAAGCTCTTGTTGGAATCCCCAAGCCCGTCGCTACGTCCCAACCGGCTAGCATCGGACCGGACACCTACGCGCCCACCTTTGCAACACCGCTTGAAACGCCGATGCCTGGGCCTTGGCCGTCGGGCTACGATCACGACGAAGGCCTTGGGCATTGTGCGGAGAGCGCATGCATCGGCACAAGCATATCAACTTAATGCCATGCAAGCACTAGTGTAAAGCTCTCGTTGGAATCCCCAAGCTAGTCGTTACGTCCCGGCGGCCTCGGACAAGCCACTCGCGCACCCACCTTTGCAACTTAGCATAAAACGCCAATGCGTAGGGCTTGGTCTTGAGGATACGATCCCAACGAAGGCCTTAGGGATTGCACGGAGAGCGCACACAATGGTCCAAGCATAGCAACTCAATGCCATGCAAGCGCTAGCCTAAGGCTCTCGTTGGAATCCCCAAGCCCATCGTTACGTCATGAGCGGCATCGGAGCGACCACCCGCACACCCACCGTTAACACTCGATGTGAAATGCCGATGCTCGAAGCCTTGGTCGTCGGGGAACGATCGCGACTAAGGGTGAGGGATTGCGGGGAGAGCGCACGCTTCGGCATAAGCACAACAACGTAATGCTATGCAAGCACTAGCATAAAGCTCTCCTTGGAATCCCTAAGCCCATCACTATGTCCGACCGGGGCATCGGACCGGCCACCTGCACACATGCATTAGCCACTCGACTCGAAAATCTAATGGGCGGGCCTTGGTCGTGGAGATATCATCACGACAAAGGCTCGAGGATTCCGTAGGGAGCCCATGCGTCGACACAAGCAAAACAACTTAATGCCACGCAAGCGCTTGCATAAATCTCTCACTGGAATTCCCATGCCCGACTTAACATCCCAGCGAGCTTCAACCCGACCACCTTCTTAACTTGCCATTGCAACAACAAAAACCAACCGTGTGCTTACCGAAAGCAAATAAACACCCACGATTGCTTGGCCCACCGGTTGGAAAAAGCACGAGCACAAAAAAACCCACGAAAAGGCTGCATAGAAAAAATCCAAGGGTCACCGGAGAAAGTGGCCGAGAGGGGTCATCGGCGATCGAAAACATTTGTCGGCCCGACACATGAGCAACCTCACCAAGAACGAGATCCAAGACACCACCCACAATGTTCTCGCACTAGGACCCATGGCCGGCGCCCATGGGCGAGCGAGCGATTACCCCTATAGAGCAATATGTAGAATTTCGGCTTTGGCGGGGGTTGACACTACTAGGTCCCACTTGTCACTCCCCTACAAAAATTCAATTTTTTGAATTTTGAGCTGAAATTTTGTACACATGTTTGGAAAAAATCCAATCTATTTTTCGAAAGCTTTTAAGAATTTTTCAAGGATAGGAAGGATGCTTTTTTATTTTTTGAACATTAAAAATGCAAAAAATCGAGAAAAAACAAAATAAGTCGAACGATCCAAAAAATGTGAGGGAGCACAATAATAACATTTTGAAATTATTGGGAAGGTTTTTGTTTGAAAGGGATGAATTTTCAAGCCGAAAAGCGAAATTTGATGAAACCGGGCACGGTAGCCGCCACATCCGCACTGGCGGACGTCGCTCCTAACCTCCTTTGGTACATTGGGATAGCCAACGAGCGTAGGAGTCCTGCGAGCTAGTGCGCCCATCGTGCTCGGGGGGCTGCGATCGGGAGAGCATGGGGCATGCGAGCTAGCCGCGCGGGGGCTTGCGAGTAAGCCCGTAGGGGCATGCGAACGGGCGTGAGCGAGGAAGTAGGGGGTCCGCGAGATACCCACGGGGTGCATACGAGCCGGCTTGCGGCGGGCGGCGAGCGGGCGTGAGCGAGGTTGCAAGGGGTCCGTGAGTCGGCCGTAGGGAGCATACGAGCGGGCGCGAGCGAGGAAGCGGAGGGTTTGCGAGCGAGCCCGTAGGGGCATGCGTGCCATCCGATAGGGGGTTTGCGAGCGAGCACGCAAGGGGTTCGCGAGCCAGCCCACAAGGGGCATACGAGCGGGCACGAGCTACGCGAGTAGGGGCCATGCAAGCAAGCCTGCGGGGGGTCCGCGAGGGGGCGCGCGGGGGTTTGCTAGCCGGCCGGCGGGGGCATGCGAGCGGGCGGCGGGGGTCTACGAGCCGGCCACCGGGAGGTTGCGAGCGGGCGAGCATGGGGCCCGCAAGCCAGCCCACGGGGGATTACGAGCGAGGCGAGCGGGGGCTCGCGAGCGGGTGCACCTTGCTCGCGGTTAGGGCCGGCAAGAGCACGCGGTCGACGGGACTGCGTTGCCGGGCTTCACCACCGGCCTACCCCTCTTGGCTCCGGTGCCCAAACTCATTTTTCGAATACGATATGATATACCGTAGTTCGTAGCCCGTGGCCCTCGGCCCACGGCCCTAAGGCCCCGAGCCCCGAGCCCCGAGGCCACTAGGCGCGGGCGCGGGTGCGGGCGAGCATGCGTGTGTTTTTTTTAAGGGATTGTTGGCTTCCCTATAGAGAAATATGTGGAATTTCTGCTATGGCGGAGGTAGACACTAGTAGGTCCCTAGTGTCACCCCCATTCTAAAAAATTCAATATTTTTTATTTTGAGCTGATATTTTGTA